ATATAAAGCCCTGAGTGGTCTGTTGACTGACCTTTTTATTTGTTCAAATAATTGTTACAGGCAGGTTACAATATAAAAAAATTGTCATAATCAAGTTTTGTGATTATTTGAAAGGAGTTTTACTTTTAAATTGTAAGTGTATTTAAATTATTTGTAATGTAAATACAATAAAAATTAAACCAATATTTAGAATAATAATCATTTTGATCCGTACACTGGTAATGTCTAACTGGGCCTCGTGCCACTTTATGTTCAATAAATTGGGCCCCGAGGAAAACAAGGTTAAGAACCCCTGTTTTAAATGAATCTTTAATTAGTTTCACACACAAAAACTATTTTTCTTTATAGAGCAAAGCTCAGGACAAGTTAAAGTTTATCATTTGTTCTAAACATAATTATCTCATTTTTCCACAAATTTTAACAAAAAAAACCAGAGTATTTGAAGTATCCAGTGAAACCTTTGATGTAGCCCTTGTCTTTGACAGCCTGCAGCGTTGGGCGGCGGGTCAGGAAGTGCTTCAGCTTCTTTTTGGTCTTCTTGTTGTCCGACACGTCCACGCTGGCGGCCGACTTCATGGCTGGGAAGGACAGGTGAGGCAGGAGAGAGTTACTCATCACTCGTCTCAGGACGCCGGTCGCCATGTCGCTCGCTGCACATTTCACAGCCCGAACTGATAACAAGTCGTTTTATAGGGCGAGAGAAACACAACGCCATGGCTCTCTGCCAAACAACTGCAGCTGTTTGTGCTTTCACTTCTGGTGTTTACGGCATCAGATATACTGCTTTTACTTTCACTCTTTATGAAAAACTAGAATAATTTAAGCTCAATTTAAAATCACACATTTAGATTTCTTGATGGCTTTGTCGTCTTTGTCCTTGTCGTGTTTCTCCGGATCAGGTGAGTCGGATTTGTCCTCCCCGTTGCTGTCGTCAGAATCTGTGGCCTGAAAACAAACAGACAGAAGGAAATAAGATACGACGGGCTGTAAAAGACATAAGCTGTGTACCTTTGACCGCTCTGAAGAGGAGACTTTAAACCTTAGATTTAAAAATATTAACTAAATCATTTAGCTTCATTATTTTTACATCAGGATTATTAAAAGTGTTGCTTTAATTTTAATAGATGGTGAGACTGTCGGACATTTAAAAATAGAAAAAAACAAAAAACRCTGACACTGAACACTGGGACAATAAAACAAACAGAACAAAAGCTAAAACAGGCAAAACTGTAGCTTAAAAATAAAATTTGCAAAAATAATATCTAAAAGCTAAATGTAGCAAAATATTATGTAAAGGAAAAGCAGTATTTAAAAGCTCAATTTGACAATGAGTAGCCAAAAGCAAAGATAAGCAAAAGTAGCTAAAGGCTCAAACAAGCAGAACAGTAAGTCAATATGAGCAAAACAGTAGCTAAAAAATAAAATAAACATACCAKTAGTTCAAAGTTAAATGTAGCAAAACTTTAGCTAAAAGCTAAGTATAACAAAACATTAGCTACAAGGTAAAAACAACAAATAAAAAAACATAGCTAAATACTAAAATTACATCAACATCAGCTAAAACCTGAATTGAGCAAAATAGTAGCTAAAAAAATTCATGAGCAACGCATTCGCTAAAATCAATTAATAATTAAACATTAGCTACAAAAACCGTGGCTAAAAACTAAAATTATAAATAGAAGCTAAAACCTAAAATGGGCAAAATGCTAACTAATTACTAAACGTAGCAAAACAGTAACTAAAAGCTGATACAAGAAGAAGTGTAGGTAAAAACTAGGATAAGCAAAGCAGTAGCTAAAATGCTAAATTTAGAAAAACTGTAGCTAAAAACTAAAATTTGATCAACTGGCACTAAACYTAAAATGAGAAAAACAGTAGCTAAATGCTAAATGTAGCGCAACAGTAACTAAAAGCTGATACAAGAAGAACTGTAGGTAAAATCTAGGATGAATAAAACAATACCTAAATGTTAAATGTAGAAAAACAGTAGCTAAAAGCTACGGTAAAACATTAGCCTCAAAGTAAAATGATCAAAACCATGGCTAAATACTAAAATTAGAACCTAAAGTGAGAGAAACTGTAGCTAAACAGCTAAATGTAGCACAACTGTTTGTAAAAATGTTAGCCAAAAGCCAAAAGTAGCAGAATCGTACTTTAAAGCTAAAAAGAGCAAAGCCATAGCTAAAAGCTAAATGCAGTATAAGACGACAGAAATAAAGCATCGGTGCAGGGTTCAGGAAGCCTTTTTGAAGAATCTTAATGCTTTACTTTAGATACAATTATTTAAAACGTGTAAAAGTTACAATTTCTAAAGTTTATGTAAGATTATTGATTGTTTAAATAAATCAAATTTTTAAATAGTTTTTAAAAGTGTTCTGATGCACAAACAGGAGACACTATAAACAGAATAAAAATAAAGCAGTTTCAGGGCTCTGAGGTTTGATCAGCCAATCAGACCTTCCTCAGTTTAAACAGGAAATATTTCGCTGACACACTTTTCTCTGTTGTTCTTATCAAACACCAACATGACTGAAACCCTTCTCCCTGACAACAAAAGCTCGGTGCTGGGTGTGTGTGCTAGAGAAGGGGAAGGCGTGGCTCCTCACGTGCGTGCCGATGGCGTCCTGCAGCGCTCTGAACCAGTCGCTGACCGTGGCGTCGTTATCGGACTGGATGAGCAGCTCTGTGCCCTGCTGAGTCTTCAGCTGCAGCCAGGAGACAAACAACAGCTCTGTGTTGATTAGCAGTCACCCAGAAACTCCTCATTTCAGTGAAACCATCACAAATAAAGGTGGAAATCTCCCCGTCGTTACGTAATGTCTGATATTTAACTGGTCTGACTGAAAGTGAGTGGGTGACCCGCTGAGCGCCTGAAACCAGTCTGAAGCTATTTGGATTAGAAACGTTCCTAATGAGACAAAAATCTGATCAGATCTGATCTTTGAAGCAAATAATCACTTCCTTATCTCCACTAAACTGGTGCTGTACTTTAAATTAGGATTGCACAAATGTCTGATTTGCTCTCTTTGTTGTCTGCTGCTGAAAGCCAAGCAATTATGTTTTCCTCATTTCTGTTTGTGTCTTCCTTAAAATATCCAATTAACCACCGGGCAGATTTTAATGAGACTCAAAAAGTAAACAGCTACTGCTGACATTACTGTGTGAGTGCTTAGAAAACTTCTCAAAATATTGAGATCCTTTTTTCTTCTGTGTGTTTTTCAGCATGTACCTTTTTCTGCACTTTTTGTGCTGTTTGTGCAGTTTTTATATCAAAACAGGACTTTCCTGCTGGGACTTTTGATACTTTAGCAATTTATACTTTTTGAGATATGTAGCTTTTTCAACCATGGTTTTCTCATTGAATCTGAATGGAGCTGTCTTTAACATCCTTAAAACTCTTCAAAATATTTAACCTCTTCAGCCACAAGAGGTTTTCTTCATGTTTTTAATCAAAATACCATGCTGAGGTGTAACTGAGTGTATCTCAGCATTTACAAACTACTTAAATCAGGGTTCCTACAGCTTAAGACAAGCTAAATTTAAGACTTAAGACCTTTTAAAGCTACTTTAAATGAAATTTAAGACTTAAGACTTTTTAATGCTACTTTAAATTAAATTTAAGACTTATTAAGACTTTTTAATGCTACTTTAAATTAAATTTAAGACTTAAGACTTCTTAATGCTACTTTAAATTAAATTTAAGACTTATTAAGACTTTTTAATGCTACTTTAAATGAAATTTAAGACTTATTAAGACTTTTTAATGCTACTTTAAATTAAATTTAAGACTTAAGACTTCTTA